CGTATAAAAAAAAACTATATTTCTTAATTTTTATGCAATACATTATTTAATCTATGAAACTTCCCTCCCCCTCCCTCCATGAGTCCAACTCACACTTGATGGGTTTTATTTTCTAGACCGTTTATTTTTATAACAAATATTATAAATGTGAAATTGAAAACTCTTTTATGCGCGATAATGAAATGGTTACCCCGCCGGCGCCATTGGTATACACTGACGGGGATCTAGTGAGTGATGATAGGTGAGTATGAAAGGGCAGGTCAGTTAGACCATCGTGACGGAATTTATCGAATTATTTTCGATAAATTCCGTCACGATTTACGTATTTTATCGAAATTATTCGAATATGAAAGATTACATTCTTATAGACTTTGTATATTTTTCACTGTTGAAGTCGCATTTTCTATACAATTTTGTGTTTGTAGATATGTAGATAGATATACTTTCGTGGTCTAATTTCATGTACATATGTTTGTGATAATATTCGTAAATGAACCTAATTAGAATATTGAGTAGATCAAGTATAAATTAGATAAAACAGAAGGCAATTATCGTTACAAAAGAAAACTTAACAACTGTCTTGTTCATTAGAATTTTATTGCGAACACGTGTGTGCGACGAACTGTAGAGTTGTCAGTGTCACGCGATATGTTTTGTCCACAGCTTCTGCGAATGGGAGAATCGTGGAAAAAGCCGTCTGTGAGCCGAGTTCCACTTTATTTACAAAATTTTCTCTTTTGTTGCCAAGCCGAGTGAATGCGTAGCGACTACTTGTGTTTGTCTGATTGATTACGATTCATCCTCGGAACTATATTAGTGTTATTAAAGTTTTATAAAAATGTTCTTAGATATTTGGTATTTCAACGGCTGAATGGAATTAAAATGCAATTCGAGTGCAAAACAATGTATTTGCTTGGCAAATAAATGGCGGCTTTAATCATCACAACATTATTATGAGAACGACACGGAAGTAAACATAAATTGCAAAAAGAATAATCATTAGTTTATTCCTTCTTCGTATTATTTTTACTGAAACACCGCATATCAAATTGACCTTAAGCTTAGTTAAATACTACTCCAAACGAATTTGTCTGACAGAGAATATGTGTTTCATATTTCTGTTTTTCTATTTAACCTTCTTCGCCATAATAATATAATTAAATTGTGTTCCACAAAACAGACTTTAATTATGGCAAAACTAGTTATTTTGATTAAAAACTAAACTACTGACCCATTCTGATAAAATTTCTATGTGATCCATCTCTAAGTATATGACTCGTCTTTAAATCCCTTAGATAAAAAAAAAATCTGAATCACACCTAACGCAGTTACGAGGTAACAGAAATATAAAAAAAAACAACCGTATTGAGAACCTCCTTCCATTTGAAGTCAATTAAAAACACTGATGACTCGAGAATTCCTTTTGGAAATCGTTTAAAAACAATTGCACCAAAATAATTCAGTGTCTTACTTTTCGACGATGTGGGCACGTATCATCGTAAATATTCACGTACCACATCCTGCCCCGCGCATATATGCTGTATATTGTTGTTTTTGCGTCTTACAAGACACTTGGCAATGATAAAAAAGGTAAGAAAAAGTCTAACATGATCTTGTAATGACTGTTAAATAATAGAGGTTAAATATTTCATTGCAAATATCGAAGCATATCCGTTTGTTAATAGAATAACAGGATTTACTTTAAAAGTAAAATTTGATATCACATTATGTAGTTGAATAAAGTATTCTAATTCGGTTAATTATAAAGTCCGTATAAGACATTTTCTGTTTAACAATAATGTCTAATAGTCTCCATGGTGTCACACCCATGTTGGTGTTAGGCATGTTCAAAGTTCCAAATGAAACAAGGCTTCTAAGAAGACGGAATGTATAAACGACTGTTATTTTATCTAGTTACACATTTGCTTTTCTATGTCATCAAACAAGAATGAAGGATAAGCAAAAAGCAGACATAATCGCACACTCGAGTTACCCTGTGAAGAAAAACAAAGTAATTTATGAGGAACTATTAAACCTTATCTGGGATTCGGTTTTGTAGTTACATATTGTTAGTTTAACAGCCCGTTTTATTTTTTGCTTATACATATTTAGATCACATGATAATAGGTAACTAATGGAATCGTCGTAAACAAGTTAAATTATAGTTCTTACTGGAATTATTAATGATCCAAGTAAAAACTATAATGTAATTATATTGTATCATAGATATCATAAAAATAATGATGTGACTCATAATATTATTTAAGTTAATTGTAAAATAAAATAAATGAACTATGAAGATATAGACGAGAAGAAATGAGCATAATTGTTTTATTGTTTACTTAACTGTCGCTAACTTTATCTAGAATTAATATAAACACTATCCTGTGTGTTAATATAGAATATAATAGATAGATAGATAGATACTCTTTATTGTTTCCTCCAAAAGATTACAATAGTAAACTTATTATAAATATAAATAATTACAAGAAATAATCACAATGACAATGGTCAATTTATTTGGCAAATTTATTTAAGTCTGTTTAGTTATGTGCTTACAGTGATTTAGTAATTATTACTACTAGTTACTTATAACTCACTAGGACCTATTCATTGCTTAGAAAGAATGAAGTGCAAAGACCTCACCTACATACACTGTCAATAATTTATCAAATTCTCATTGAACTGTATCTAATAGCCATCTTACCCGTTTCTGTTGTTTTTGTCTTTCGAACTGATGAACAGAATGGCCAGTGGCATAATACGACCTTTGTGCTTAGAAATGGCAACGCATGAGCAATGAGGGTGGGACAGAATGAGCGTCTATATTGTTGTAGATATTATAGACGATGGTTTCTATTTCTCATCGGATGGGTGGTTAGCTTTTTGTCATTAGTAGAAGTAGAAAGAATATTACAAAGATTTTCTAACTATATTACCAGCTTGCTTTTTATTTTACTGCGTGAGCAAATCTACAGAATATTGCTAGTATATATCGCAAATGGTAATAAATATTCGCCCATTATACCCCCCCCCCATTATGATGGTAATGTGACATCCAGATACATTTACCCCTCGATCATTAGGAGTCGAGCTCATCAAAAACTAGATGATTGTTAATAAATTCTAGATTATTTTTTTACAATTTGAGATAAATCATGTTTTTATATAGTTTTCGTGAGATATTTAAATTAATTCATATCAGCTGTCAATTAGAGATCAGTTCACAATGTTTTTTTATGCAACTTAGAATGGCAAACAAGCTGACGACCCACCTGATGGAAAGTGATAACCGTCGTCTATAGACATGAGCAGTACCCTGGACATAACAGAGTATATTGTTATGTCCAGGGTACTGCTCCATGATACCCCCATGCGTTGCCATTCCTGAGGACTCAGGTGTTATTCTTCTGTAAATTCACTGTCACATGCCTTTCAACCGAAACACAGCCATGCAAACACAACTGCTCCACGGTAGAAACACGAATGGGACAGAGGTGCCCAAGTAAACGACTTTTGTACAAGCTCTCCCTCTGGTAAACACTATTAATATTATATTAGACTGATAAATGCAAATATGCAACAGATATGCAATCTTAATAAGGATTTTACTGATGTACAATCTTAATTAAATTCTTTATCATATATTTTCTACTATTTTATTGTTTCCGTTTTGTTTTATTTAACACTAAGACACCGGTATATCTACATGATATTACAATTTACATTATTTAAAGCACGGAAAACTCTATTAGAATAATATTTGCACATAAATAGACCTTCTTTGCACCTGTATGCACCCTGATTGACCCCGCGAGGATAATATATTTACGTATTTATTAAATTAATACTTTGTTAACGGTAAAAACGTACATACATGAAAATATCGTTAAATAATTATTTTTATATTTTACATTTATTGCAGTATTTATTATATATTTTGTATATAATCAAATAAATGGAATCAACATCTGGGCGGGAGCACCTAAATACCAGCTTGAACCCTTCGACTTCTTGCAACGTCGCGCTATGAGAATTGTTGGTGATCCCAGGCTTACAAGTGGTATCGAACCCTTAAGTCGTAGGAGAGATTTTGTCTCACTCTGCGTGTTCTACCTTTTATACAACGGATTGTGCTCAGAGGAATTGTTCAATATGATGCCTACAGCCACTTTCTACTATCGTACGGCTCGCCATCGACAGGGAGTTCATCCTCATGTCCTACAGTCTCAATGGTCACGTATAGCGCAGTTTCAGAGATGTTTTTTTCCTACGAACACTCAGGTTATGGAATGAGCTCCCTGCCGAGGTTTTTCCAAGAGCCTACAGCATGGGGGTAAGGAGATTTCTTCAGGGTCGGCAACGCATGTGTAATACCTCTGGTATTACATGTGTTCATAGGCTGCGGTAACCACTTATCGTCAGGTGGGCCGTATGCTTGTTTGCCACCTCAGTGGTATAAAAAAAAAACATTAAATATTATTCAAAAACCATTAATTATATATTTACTGGAATTAGATTCATGTTTTTTTTTTCAAACAAAATAACGACACGTAGCGAATTCTCAAGCGTGCAATTATCTACTTGTATAATAGTTTAATTAAGATATTATTGTATACGTAAACCTTTCTTAAAAAAACATCTAAATGGCAGTAAAACACAAATCAGAATCCTCTGCGTGATTTAGAAGAAACCAGAGAAACAAACACCTGCGAATAGCGACTTTGTTCTATAGTTACTCTACATATTTAGATATAAGTAAATTTAATAAAAAAAATATTATGTTTATTTGCGATTTTTAGTAACACAACTTATAGATCTTTATAATATTTTAAACATGTTTTATTTTTAATACTGTAGACTTTCTTTTGATTAGACAGAAACAATTATTACATGCCTTTTTGCAGTAAGCTTCCTATAAGTGCGTATATTTTTGTCGTGACTTCATTGATCGTATTTGACACATAAACGTCAATTCAACTCGTATAAAACAGTATTACATCATCATAGCTCAGTGTGGTGTACGTGTAGGGTGTACCGGACGAATGCAAGGTGCGCACTGCGCGGGAGTTGATGGATGCAACTTTTTTTAGCGACTGCCACATCCGCGTCTGCACAAGTTTTTACCCGCGCATGCGTCTGCGCGTTTTTCACCGATCCGATTGATGACCGTCTGCCACCTCGGCTGTATTTACGTTAATCTGTAATGTAAATTATCGTTGAGATGTCTGTTCGAGAGACGTATCTGTTTTAAGAGTACTTGTCTATACCTACTTCAACTAAGTATTAAGTCACTAAAGATATTGCAAAAAATATATTATTTCAATTAGAGATTATTCAACTTGACTTTTGTATATGTATTGTTATTAGTTTTATTTTATACTTTAAGATTTCATATATTTATTTTAAAATATTAAAGTGTAAAATAAATATATTGTAAAAAACATCCATTGTTAATGTTGGATCTTAATATTACTGATTTTCATGATACTATTCGCAATATTTTTGTTTAGAATGTTAAGCCTTACTAAAGTTTATAGTTCCTAAAGAATTCTAAAGATAACTGGTATCACAAGTAGGTATTTTTTATATATATAATATATGTGCCGCAAAATTTTTGCCAATTCCAAACTGACGTTGAAAATTATTTCTGCAATCGACAGGGTTTACTCCTAAATTGGATCTCTATTAATTATATTGCAATTTGATGTTTTTTTTTTTGTTTATTTTAAATAGTTTTATGTAGCATCTGTCATTATAATAAATGTCTTAGTCAACTTGTTCAACGAAATTATGGCAGGTTTAAAATAATCGTTTTTAATGAAACAGTAACAGCTGGGATGGACGCTTTTTATGTTATCCGTATGAATCACAGTCTTAACTACGGTATAGAGACCTACCGTGTGAACCACAGTCTAAAGAACTCTGAATGAATACAGTTTTTCACAGCAGTACATAAATGGTGAGCTGTAATAATGATGACAATGATGTAAATAATAATTGAAAGAGATCGATTGCCCTTTATACAAGTTGAAATTTAAATTATTAACATTATTTAAGGAAATATTCTATTAGTAAAATATTAATTTATAAGGAAAATTAATTGTGAAAACGATAAACAAATTTAAACGACATGTTATAACATGACAGCTGTTAATGTAAACCTTAAGATTTTATAGTATAAGGATTGGCAAAGAGACAAAACTCAATAACATATATTTTAGAGCGAGATAGCCAAGTTGAACACTCATGTACATAATATAAGCTCGAAGCTGATTTGGTAGAAGTATAAACAAAACAATTTTTAATTATTTTCACGTTTTGAAATGAAATTAGTTTCAACTGAATGTATTTAGTTAGAATTAAATATGCTGCAGGCATCCAGGTACAGCACACTTAAACTCTATCATAAATAAAAAAGAGTCAAAATATTTGGGGGAAAAACATACCTAATTTAATTTATATAAAGCTCCGATTTTTAACATTTAGAATTGTTACATACATATTTTTAGAAAACACGTGCATTAGTGTAAAATTTTCTTGTTTCGTTTTTGTGATTGCATTGCCAGTCTGTCAGTCCATAGTACGTTAATACATATAAGTAAAACGGAGTACAAACCGACCGGCAATCAATTGGGTGTGTTATCAATGAAAATCTTGCGCCTACAAAGCCTACAGCGAGCGTGGCCTAGTATTATTTAAATATATCTCTATAAATCTTACGTCTGCTACTGGATTGATAATTGGTAGCTTTGTATGGCCAGGCTAGCAGACAGGCGGCCTCAGGCGTCTAGACAGACCATTCCGTTGTGCGAGATCACGTTTCGCCTGGCCGAACATGCTAAGTACACGTCTGGCGGCACACATGCCCCCGAACGTACGCGGCAGGTGGATACGTCAGGTGGAATCCGGTTATATACGTTATAAACATATATTTGTCATAGTTATTGGGAATAATTGTTTTTATTTATTATATTTCAGAAGGTTCATAATTTGACTGTAATGTTATGTGATGTCTTCGTTTATTTTGGACAGATTTTAAATAGTCTTTGCTAAATCGTAATAGTTTAGTCTCTCTTACTCGTTGTTGAGATTGAGTCGGTTTTTATAGCACTTTCATTTACAATGAATAAAGTAGATTTTTATTTAATTTATTTTTTTGAAGCAAATTATACTGGTGATATAGTGTAATATAATTTTCAATACCTAGATCTATATTAATTTATTTCGTAAATATTTGCTTAACACACACAACTTTGTTTGCTCTAAAATTGCCTTAATTATTATTTAAATTTATTTAAAATCGGCAATGTTGCTTTACAAAACTGTCATTAATATTGATAAAATTAGCACAAAATTAACATGGGAACAAACATTAACAGAAGTGGTGTAAATATATAGAGCATCATGTTGTTACATAAAATACAGTCGAATTGAAGAACTTTGCTTGAAATCCGTTGAATACTTTTCAGTGACAATGAAACATTATAAAAAATTATTATACTAAATTATGACAAGGATCATTATAGGTAAACCGTAAATGTTGGTATGTATAGTTATATACCCTTAAGTTAAAAATATACAAATTATATACAAACAAAAGAAAGAACTATTAATTCTCCACTGCTGAATATAAGCCTCTCCTAGTTGCCACACTTAGCAGGCGGTAGCAGGCGCTTAGCATTGGTAAATGCAGTTAGGCTTTGGAGATGTTTTAAGAGGAACGATGCCGCTCAGGTCTCGCCCTCCCTTCGTCGCTTCTTACGACATCCACGTGAAAGGAAGGGGTGGCTTATTCCATGCCGGGCCCATACGACACTATATATATACTTATTTTCTAAATTCAAAAAATTTAAATACATAACCACATCCAACTTGGAGCGTGTGAATTCTTCTATCATCATTGTCGAAAATGGATTCTCGGATGACTATGTGCACAGTCGGATCGTACGCCGACATAGGCCTAACACAAAGACTATTGTTCGATGCTCAGATGACCACGGTAATGAGACACAATAGCCGTGACAAATTACTGTGATTGCTACGCCACATGGTTATCTTTGAAGCCGATCATTCCAGGTATTTGCGAACACACATCACGTCATCTAGGAAAATATATACAATATAATATTAGTGCTTCTATGCGATCTTCGTACACCAACCTAAAAAAATATTTATAAAACTTATATTAAGATTTTAAACACATATATATACATATATTATTGGAAAATGGGATTTTAAAGAACCTACCATTTGTTTCGCCTCGCTACAACGTTAAGCACCGTATGCACCCCGAAAAAGACTTTCGGATATCGTTGAAACAGTTGTTGGTAACGACAGATATAGTAAGTTCTAGTCAAAAGTATGGTTCATTAAGGAATGTATAATATTTTTCATGTACATTGTCAGATTGTTTGTCATTTCACGATAAAAACAGCCATTGTGTCGTATATTGAATACCGCTATGAACTTTTATTTTAGCTAAATGGCTACTGAAACCGAGTTGTAGAATTTTAATACGTAATTTGATTTATGTATAATCTATTTCAATAAAACTTATTGAAAGGGTATCAAGTTTTATTGAAATTATTACAGAATATTTTTTTAATAAAATTAGTAACACATCCAAATTATCAGTCAAAATATCGATTTGTTTACATTTTCGTTTGATCTCTTATTTGCTATCGACAGATTGTCTTAAGTTCGTGTTAAATATTCGGTTATTTAGATATTCATTTATTTATATTGAAACTATACTACACCTACAGCATCTAACAATTCCGCTTTAAACCGGAACACAACAAGCAATCAACTAGCTTGTCGGCATAATTAATATAATATATGTGACATAGACGATGTGGCGATGTTCTACTCAAATGATTTTGTAGACCCCCTATTACCATTTTCATGTAGACATACTTTTGTTTTTTCTATAAAGTATTTTATAGAAAAATATTCTAAATTTTCTATAAAATATTCTATTCCGTGTGGTCCTGATATAGAATAGGCCACCCCTTTTTTCCCCGTAGGCGTCGTAAGAGGCGACTAAGGGAGGGCGAGGAATAGACAGCAGCATCCCTTTTAAAACATTTTCAAAGCCCAACTGAGGTTACCAATCCGCTCGCCAAACGTGGCAACTACTGACAAAACGCCCTCAGGGGAATGTTTATGTTTGGCAGTGGACAGTTAAAAGCTGATGTGATGATAATAAAGTATTTTGTAATTATCTGTCGATTATTGTTTACTAGTTATTATTTCTTATTGTAGATACATCATATTTAACTAAAAATTTACTAACTTTATAACTATAATACTATGAATTGCATGTTATATGTGTCAATGCAATGCATTGCAATTGCACTGTATTGCATTAACACACAATTTTCGGAAGTTGTTTTTACAGCGATGGTCCTCTCTCCGAAAACATATTCCGGATTTGCAATTTTAAATAATAGATTTGGCCGATTTTAAATTGAAAGGAGCAAACTAATTATGCAGGGTGGAAACCGAAGGTCGCGGGCGAGACGGTTACCCGTGGGAGTCGTTACGACGTCTGCGCCGCGACCTTGGCACTTTATACGCACTTGTTATAGTTAAGATACAACAGTATAAGACCCGCAGAATGATTTAGAGCCCTTTGCTCCACAAAAGAACTTCATTCGTTTTAACTCGATGCATTGAAACGATTTAAAAATCGAATATTAATCGCGTGTCTGAATAGGTTTTATAGCAAAACGAAGCTTTTTGCACTCCAGAGAAAAAAGATAAAATGCGAAAAGAATATCAAATTTGCTTTAGATTGGCAACGTTTAATATAGCGACAAAAATAATGACGAAATAAGCACCCCCTTCTATTGGAAGTTGCTTAAAATTATTTTCGCCGTGCTGCGTGACATCTGTTTTTAAATACACCAGTTTTTACTTGCGACTTCGTCTATGTAACCGTGATATGTGTATAATACCCGGAATGAAAAGCAGCCTAAATCCTGTTTTATACTAAACATTAACTGTATGCAAAATTACATGACTATCGGTTACGCCACCGAAGTGCCAAGATAACAAAATGAGGTAACAAAGGCACAAAGTTGCTTTCACATTTATAACA